AGAGCTTAACAACATCACCATCACCTCTGTGTACAAGCCCCCAAATGAAGAGTTCTGCTTCTCCTCCCCCGAGAACTTTGACAGGCACCAAAGGGCGGTAGTAATTGGTGACTTCAACAGCCATAGCCACGTATGGGGCTATGCCCAAGAGGATAAAAATGGAGAGGCTGTCCTCTCCTGGTCTGAACTGCACAAACTATCACTCATCCATGATAGCAAGCTCCCACCATCCTACAACAGCGGGAGATGGCACCGAGGTTATAACCCAGACCTCTTATTTGTGAGCGACAGCATCGTACAGCAATGCACCAAATCAGTGGGACCACCAATCCCAAACACACAGCACCGACCAATAGTATGCCAACTGTTCCCAACAATAAGGCCTCAGGAAGTTCGATTTAAACGAAGATTCAACTTCAGAAAGGCAGATTGGACTAAATTCTCAGACATGTTAGATGACATGATCACATCAGTCGCGCCAATCCCTGAGGAATACGAACATTTTATTGAAATTGTGAAAACCTGCTCACGGGCCTCCATACCGAGAGGCTGCAGAACCAACTACCTTCAGGGCATTACTCCTGAAACAGCTGCCTTGTTGGAAAACTATTACAGGCTCCACAACGAAGACCCATTTAGTGAGCAAACCCTTCAGGCAGGGCAGAGCATTGTGTCCTCCATCTCTGAAGCCAAGAAAGAACAGTGGATAAAGCTGATCACAGAAGTCGACATGGGCAGGAGCAGCCAGAATGTTGGACTAGGACCCTGGAGGCCATGGAAACCGTATATTCCGGCATATAAGACGACTGGGCGTATAAGACGACCCCCAACTTTTCCAGTTAAAATATAGAGTTAAGACGACTCCCATGCATAAGACTACACCCGCATATAAGACGACCCCTAACTTTTTAGAAGATTTTCTTGGGTTAAAAAGTAGTCTTATACGCCAGAATATACTGTAATACCCATGCCAACATAAAGGCAGATCAGATAGCACACCAACTCTTGAAGAATGGGAAACCCAACTTTGCCACCAAAGTAGGAAAGAAACCAATAGCCAGGCAACCAGAGATTGAGAACAACAACCTCCATGAACCCTTTACATCTATTGAATTGGACATGGCTCTCAATAAATGTAAAAATGGCAAAGCAGCTGGCCTGGATGACCTACGGATGGAACAAATCAAGAACTTTGGTCCCAAAGCAAGGCGCTGGCTGCTGGAGCTGATGAACAACTGCACGGCATCCTGTCAGATCCCCAAAATCTGGAGGAAAGCAAGAGTCATCGCCATCTTGAAGCCAGGCAAAGACCGTAATGACCCAAAAAGCTACAGACCAATCTCCCTGCTGTGCCACCTCTACAAAGTTCTGGAGAGACTTATTTTGCATAGAATTATGGAAAAATAGACCCCTGTCTGATCCCACAGCAAGCTGGCTTCAGAAAAGGCAAAAGCTGCACATCGCAAGTGCTGAACCTGACTCAGCACATAGAAGTTGGCTTTGAAAGGCAGCAGATCACAGGAGCTGTCTTCATAGACCTGTCAGAGGCTTATGATACTGTGCCTCCCCCTGAGAAAAATGTATAATATCACAAAGGACTACCACCTCACCCGCCTCATAGGAAACCTGCTACAAAACAGGAGCTTTTTTGTTGAGTTCCAGGCCAGAGAAGCAGATGGCGGAAACAGAAGAATGGCCTGCCTCAGGGGAGCGTGCTCACTCCATCAATGTTCAATGTACACAAATGACCAGCCACTGCCAGAAGGGACAGAGAGTTTCATCTATGCTGATGATCGTGCCATTACCGCTCAAGCAGGGAGCTTTGAGATGGTTGAACAGAAGCTCTCCGAAGCTCTAGGTGCTCTTACTGCCTATTACAGGGAAAACCAACTGATCCCTAATCCATCTAAAACACAGACATGTGCCTTTCACCTTAAGAACAGACAAGCATCCCGAGCTCTGAAGATCACCTGGGAAGGAATCCCACTGGAGCATTGCAGCGCACCCAAATACCTGGGAGTCACTCTGGACCGTGCTCTTACCTACAAGAAGCACTGCCTGAACATCAAGCAAAAAGTGGGTGCTAGAAACAATATCATACGAAAGCTGACTGGCACAACCTGGGGATCACAACCAGATACAGTGAAGACATCTGCCCTTGCGCTGTGCTACTCTGCTGCTGAGTATGCATGCCTAGTGTGGAACACATCTCACCACACTAAAACAGTGGATGTGGCTCTTAATGAGACATGCCGCATTATCACGGGGTGTCTGCGCCCTACACCACTGGAGAAATTACACTGCCGGGAAGTAGCAGCCAATAGTGAAAGGACCAAGGCAGAGACATCTCCAGCTCATCCCTTGTTTGGGTATCAGCCAGCACGCCAACGACTTAAATCTAGACATAGTTTTCTAAGATCTACAGAGACACTCGCTGGAACACCTCAGCAAGCGAGAGTCCAAAAGTGGCAGGCTCAAACCCAGCACCTCAACCAATGGCTGATACCAAATGAGAGACTCCCTCCTGGGCACACAGAAGACTGGGCGACTTGGAAGGCATTGAACAGACTGCGCTCTGGCACCACGAGATGCAGAGCCAGCCTTCAGAAATGGGGCCACAAAGTAGAATCCTCGACATGCGAGTGTGGAGAAGAACAAACCACTGACCACCTGCTGCAATGCAACCTGAGCCCTGCCACATGCACAATGGAGGACCTTCTTGCAGCAACACCGGAAGCACTCCAAGTGGCCAGATACTGGTCAAAGGACATTTAACCAGCTACCAAACTCACAAGTCGTGTATTTTTCTGTTTGTTTGCTTTGTTCTGTTAGACTGGTTGTTCTGACACGACAAAAAAAACCAAGAGAAATAGATGGTTATAACTCTCTCCTATTAAAAACAACAACAACAACAACAACAACATGGATGTTTGCTAGTAAGATAGAAACCAAAGGCAGTTGAAAAGATGGATGAGTCTTGCAGGATATCTATTTTCCTTGTGCAATAAAAACAGATTTTCTTGCGAAGTGTGTTGATTTACCCTTCCGATCCTATTTCAGAGTGGGGCCTGCTCTATATTAATAATCCATCATTTCTTCAGTGCCCCTGAGAGCAGCCTTAAAGGCAGATCCACTAGAGATGGAGGAGCAAATATCAGGGCTTGTTTGCTCGCCTCTCCCATCCATAAACCAACACTGAGTATTGCTGATCTGTGGCCAAATATTGAGATTACAATCTGCACTTTTGGGAGAAGCCCAGAACACTTTGATCAAGGTCGGTTAAGGGGACCATTCCATATTTCTGATATATCAGCTGCTCTTTTGCAAACCAATAGTTATAAACTGGTTTTTTAAAAGTATAGACCCTGGCCTCATTTATGCTGCCATATACTGCAGTATGAAACTACATTATATGACTAGCTTGGGTACTATTTGAAAAAGTCAATTTTAATTGTACAAAATGCATAAGGTTGTGGGCAAACTACAACTCACATCATTCCAGGTTAACCCTGAGAAACAAAATTTGAGATATCTCGCGGGAATAGTCAGTCGAAAGGTCGAACAGCGTATAAGGTTACAGCCTGTGCTGGATGGGGCTACGTTCCCCCTGAAGTCACACATTCACATCTTGGGAGTTCTCCTAGACTCCTCATTGAACCTGGAAGCATTCACACAATTAAAACTTGTGCGTCAGCTGTGCCCCTCTCTTTAGAAGCCAGACTTGGTCATGGAGGTCTGTGCTCTTGTTACATCATGAATAGACTACTGCAATGCACTATATGTGGGGCTGCCTTTGAAGACTGTCTGGAAGCGTCAAATACTCCAATGGGCAGCAGCCAGATTCCTCACTGGAGTGCCATATAGGGAGCACACAATTCCCAGGTTGAGAACCACTGCCCTAAATGATTCTGGCCCAACTTATCTGTCCGAACACATCTCCCTCTATGAGCCAGTTAGAACATTAAGATCTGCTGGGGAGGCCCTGTTCTCGGTCCCACCCCCTTCGCAAGCATGAGTTGTGGGGATGAGAGACAGGGCCTTCTCAGTGGTGGCCCCTCAGCTATGGAACTCCTTCACCAGTGATATTCAGACTTCCCCCTGGTCTTCAGGAAAAAGTTAAAGACTTGGCTTTGTACATAGGCATTTGGGGAATCGTGTAATATGGAATCTGACTTGAATGTAACAGCTTGAATAGTGACCATGGGATTAGGCACTATATTTTTAAATCTGTTTTATTGTATTTATATGTTTTAAACTGTTTTATAATTTGAGATGTTATATTTGTTTATTTGTATGTATAATGCGGCATTAAATTTTGCCATAATTTGTAACCTGCTCTGAGTCCCCTCTGGGGTGAGAAGAGCAAGGTAGAAATATAGTAAGCAAGTAAATAAATAAATTACTGTTGTTTCATGTATCCCTTCTACACATAGCCTGAAGGTCATTTTGTACACAGCATTTAAAATTACAATATTGTGGTTTTTGCAGGATGTTTTCTAACAGTTGCAAGCTAAAATCATTCAATGAAACAATTTGTGTACATTGAAGAATTAGAAAGCAAAAGGGTCAATATCTCAGATAAACAGGTAGACAATTTTGGATTTCAGAATTGCAAGTAAGGGATGCTCAACTTGCACAATTCTAAAACTATTTTTCCTTAATAAAGATAGATTGTAGAAGGGTACTGGTTTGTCCTGATATGCCTTTGAATTACAAAGAACCCCCTCAGGTGTAGAAATAAAATGTTGCAGATGGTGCTAAGAAGAGAACAAATATAGAACCTTACCAGGATATCTATCTATCTATCTATCTATCTATCTATCTATCTATCTATCTATCTATCTATCTATCTATCATCTATCTATGTCAAGGCATGTATGTATGTAGGTTAGTTGGTTTGTACTGCAAAGGCTCCAATATGTCTTGATGGATCTGGACAAACCTTGTCACATATACCTTTCATATCCAGCTTAAAATAATTGAACTCCATTTGTTCACAGGGAAGAGAAACAATGACTGAGCACGAAGACTTTGCCAACTTTGCAGGGCACTGGAATGCATCGGACAGCTCCCAGTTCAGCCCAGCAAGCATCATCGTCCCAGTGGTCTTCTCCCTCATCTTTCTGCTGGGGACCGTTGGCAACAGCCTGGTCCTGGCTGTGCTGCTGCGCAATGGCCAGATGGGCCACAACAGCACCAACCTCTTCATCCTCAACCTCAGCCTGGCCGACTTCTTCTTCATCATCTGCTGTGTCCCCTTCCAGGCCACCATTTACTCCTTGGAAGGCTGGGTCTTTGGCTCCTTCATGTGCAAAACGGTCCACTTCTTCATCTACCTCACCATGTATGCCAGCAGCTTCACCTTGGCCGCCGTCTCTGTGGACAGGTAATCCAGAGCAAAGTCTTTAGCCATCTCTGCCAAAAAGTGCTGGTGTTTCTCTAAACTACAAATCCAAAGGTGCCATAGCATTGAGCCAGGACTGTTAAAGAGGTGTCCAACTGTCATGGGATAGGTGTTCATTTATTGTATCAGGAGCGAACCAAGGATACAGTTGTGCTGTATTTGAGAAAATGCAAAGTTTAAAAACTTGGCATTATATTAAATGTCCTTTGACCAGTAGCTGGCCACTTGGAGTGCCTCTGGTGTTGCTATAAGAAGGTCTTCCATTGTGCATGTGGCAGGGCTCAGGCTGCATTGTAATAGGTGGTCTGTGGTTTGTTCTTCATCACACTCGCATGTTGTGAACTCCATTTTGTGGCCCCATTTCTTAAGGTTGGCTCTGCATCTCATGGTGCCAGAGCGCAGCCCCTTCCAAGTTGCCCGGTCTTCTGTGTGCCCAGGAGGGGGACATGAGAGAAGCTTCCCTGCAGGATTACAACACATCCGGGCATCTCCTGGGCACGTCTTTGTAGACAGCTGATTCTCTCACTCCAGAAGTGACCAGAAGTGGGATAGGTGTATGATTTATAGTTTTCCAATAACACCCTCCCTGGAAACACTACACACTGGACGAACAAATGCTACAGAGGCAAGCAAAACATAGCAGAGTTCATTTATAGCAACTAGCGGTTTTGCTCAGTCTTATCAGCAGAGTATAAACTGCAATGTCTGACCTTGTTAGCACACTGTTCAGTAAATTCACAGATTCAGTTTTCATCCAAAATATCAGGAGGCTTTAATCTTGACACATTGCACTATTTACAGTTGTACACAGAACAAGATCCACCGATCCACAATCAGACTTGTACTTACAAACGAATAGCAGATACAGAGATATACTCATGGCAAGGTTCACACAGGCAAGACAGACACATGCTAGAGAGAGATTGAGCATTTCCTCTCTCCTTTTATAACCACCTGCTGACTTGTCATCAGTAAGGGACAAATGAATGATGTAACCCCTTGGCATAAACCTCATATGATTATGACTCATCTATTTGTGCCAGCCCCTTGGTTATTTCATCATTACCCACTAAGTCATTCCCCAGGTGTGTTATCACATCTCCATCAGAACTGTATTTTACACATAGATTCAATGCTGAAGCATTTCTGTCCAACACTAACTGCATTCATTCTGCAATGTGATTTTTTACCTGAGATATGCCTACATCTTAGGTTCTCTTTAATACGGGGGGGAAACCTGGACTTTGTTTGGCCACAATGCATTTCTGCTGACTTTAAAATCTCTTTCCAGTAACTCCCTTGGGCTCCATTCCACACTGTTTTGGCTCTTTCCCAGCTGAGCTGCTGAAATGACAGTCTTTCTCCTGCTGTTCCATCTACCCAGTGACAGCTCTCTTCTCCCAGAGTGACACAGACATGATGGGGACTCTGATCTGTCACTATCATGTCAAGGTACCATCCTGAAAAAGCTGTCAACATTAAAATTATCCCTTACCACAAAGTCCTTTGGACAGATGGGCTCTATCAGCTGCTTATCATCCTATCAGTTCCCTGGAGTGTTGCATATAGCAGCATGGATCAAACTGGAACAGAGATGCATGTTCAGTTCACTCCTGTTGGAAACTAGTTCAGACAGCACAATCTTGTATCCCAACGTTACTCCCCTGAAACAATGATCTTCCAGAACCTGAACAAGCATCTCCTTCTTCTCCTTCCTTGGCACTGTTTTGAAAGGCTGTTGAAAGACTTTGACACCTATCTTTCTGCTTATAATTTAATTCCCTCTCAAAAATCTTATCTGCCCAAGCAATGATGCTGCATGTGCAATTCTGCTCCTGTGATGACAATGATTGGCGATCACTCGTGTCCAAGTAGGATGGCCTTCCAAGCATAGGGTCTTGGCAATGGGTCCATAGGTGACTGTGGAGACTTATTCTTGACCTGCATGTTCTTCCACAGTGAGGATATCGGTTTCCAGATGGAAGGCTGTCCTGGTCTAGGTTGGCTTGACGTGCCTTTCTCTTGACACATTTTCTCCCTTTTGCTCTCCATTCATGCCTTTTTGAATTCCACAGCACATTTGGTAAAAGCAGATCTCCAGTTAGAACGCTCAAGAGCCATGGATTCCCAGTTCTCTCTCAGTGTCTATGCCACAGTATTTAAGGTTAGCTTTAAGCCCATCTTTAAATCTCTTTTCCTGTCCACCAACCTTCCATTTTCCGTTCTTCAGTTGAGAGTATAGTAATTTTGGGAGACAGTGATCAGGCATTTGGTCAACGTGGCCAGTCCAGCAGAGTTGATGGTGGAGGATCATCACTTCAATGCTGGTGGTCTTTGCTTCTTCCAGCACCATGATGTTTGTCTGCCTGTCTTCCCAAGAGATTTACAGGATTCTTTAGAAGAAATGCTGATGGAATCGTTCCAGGACTCAATCCTGCAGTATTGAGCTGAATATTGCAGTATTGAGCTGAATATATACCTTATGCAATAGACAGAGATACCCTACTGCTTTCATAGAGGAATTTACACATGTGTAAGATATTAATAGGATGGTAGCCTACAGCTCAGTAAAAAAAAGAAAGGACTTCCAAGGGACACGTCCAAAACTCTGACAATCACATCCCACATGTTTGTCAGACTCAGTAGTACATATTCTCCAACACATAGCAACAGCAGCATCATGACTCCATACATTCCGAATGGTTACAAAGTGAAATCTATTGTGGTCATATCATGAATGTATTCTGCTTCAGCAATCGTCTCTTCAGAAGAAGAGATTTTCCCAGTATAGATGGCATTCAGGTTTGACATCATGGTAAACCATGGTTTGCATAAACACTAGCTGATAACACATTATAGTTTGAGCTTCTCAAACCATGGTTTAGATTTATTTTCCAATCTTGCTTTTTGTCACTCAGTGCTACAAATCTAGAGGTTGACTTCACTTCTATCTTCATTAGTCAAATGCCCCTAGAGCAGTGGTTCTCAACCTGTGGGTCCCCAGGTGTTTTGGCCTTCAACTCCCAGAAATCTTAACAGCTGGTAAAGTGGCTGGGATTTCTGGGAGTTGTAGGCCAAAACACCTGGGGACCCACAGGTTGAGAATGACTATGCTAGAGTCAAAGAAATTGCTTTCCCACCAAGCTATAGGTAGAATAAGCCATGATCTGCAAATAACAACAACAACAACAACAACAACAACAATTTTATTTCTTACCAGCCTCTTCCTGCACCTTGAGGTGGGTTACAAGACAATTGAAAAACACAAACATTGCAAAAATTCAACAAATATACATATTTCTATAAAAGATCCACATTAAAACTGCATTTCTATCAAATACATATTAAGGTACACAAAACAGAAATCAAACAAAGGACACGAGTTTAAGATTCATAGTTAAAAACTGTCTGGGTAATGGATTGTTGTGTGTTTTCCAGGCTTGATGGTCATGTTCCAGAAGCATTATCTCCTGACATTTCACCTTCATCTATGGCAGGCATCCTCAGAGGTTGTGACACACAACCTCTGAAGTTACCTGCCATAGATGCAGATGAAATGTCAGAAGAGAATGCTTCTGGAACATGGCCATACAGCCCAGAAAACAAACAACAACCCAGTGATTCCGGCCATGAAAGCCTACAACAATAAATTGTCTGGGTAGCTTCTGATTTAGTTTTGCAACCAAGCCACAGCTAAGCAAATCTAGGATTTTAACAGAGATGGTGGGAACATGCTAGCTCTCTCAAGTGCCCCATTTGTCTCTGTCAATGCTGGATAGAAGCTATACGGTTGATAATCCTAATCCATTCCTAATGCTGTTGACTTCTTTTGAGACAGGTACTTGGCCATTCGTTACCCACTGCGATCTCGGGAGTTACGGACCCCCTGCAATGCGGTGGCAGCGATGGCTGTCATTTGGAGTCTCTCCGTGATCTTTTCTGGCCCCTACCTGAGCTACTATGACCTGATCGAATGGGAGTCCAGCTACATCTGTGTGCCAGGATGGGAGGAGTGGAAGCGCAAGATCATGGACACCAGCACTTTCACCTTTGGCTATGTGATCCCAGTGCTTATTGTCAGCCTCTCCTACACCCGGACGATTAAATACCTATGGACAGCTGTGGACCCCTTGGAGAACATGTCTGAGTCCAAGAAGGCTAAACGCAAAGTGACCAAGATGATCATCATCGTGACAGTCCTCTTCTGCCTCTGCTGGCTGCCCTACCATGTGGTCATCCTCCGCTACCTCTATGGAGACTTCCCTTTCAACCAAACCACCTATGCCTTCCGACTGCTCTCCCATTGCATGGCCTACGCCAACTCTTGCCTCAACCCTATTGTCTACGCTTTGGTCTCCAAGCACTTCCGCAAAGGGTTCAAGAAGGTCTTCAGCTGCCTCCTGAGAAAGAAGGCCCGGAATAGGGTTCACGTTATCCATGCAGCTCACACCGCACCTGGCTTTGAGGCAGGCTCAACAGAAGTGTCTCAAATGAATGATGACAATGGGCAGTTGAGTGGATGTGAATTGGAACCAAGATCCCTTGTGGTCCCATCAGGATCTGCCAGACCCCTCCATATTCCTTAGGCTGAGTGGAAGAAGAACCAGGGCAAACAGTGTGCGATACTTCTATCAAGGCTGTTTTTGGAAGGTATTTCATACCTATGTACACAAAGGGACTTGGTAAATCAGGAATGCCTTCTCTGTCCCTTCCCTAAAGATATCCTGAAGTTGGTTGCTAGGTCAGGAGAGTCTCAAGATTTCTGAGATCTCGGTGTAAAACCCTGAAACTGACGAATGGACTCTGTTGATGTCTTTAAACGTGAAGCATCAACCACAGTTACTCAGAGCATGCAATTCAAATAATAAACACCAAATCCTATATATATATATATATATATATATATATATATATATATATATATATATATCTCCTCTGGTTGGAAATTACATTTTAAAGCACCACATTGAAGAAGACACATTATGAGATAATATGGCTCACTGGAGAAGACAATAATGCTTTTAGAGGCAGAATGCAGCAGGAAAAGAGGAAGACCACATTCCAGATAGATGGACTCAGTCTAGAAAGCCCTAGCACCCCCAACTTTGAAATACATGAGTCTTTGTGACTGGGGCACTTGGGTTTTTTCACAGGGTCGCTATAAATAAAATGTAATGTTAACAGTAGACAAGAAACTTCCAGGGAGTTGCATGAGTCTCATCCTGTTCTTTGCTTTACTTTTTTCACTCCCACATTTTGCTACCACTTTCTGTTAGGAACAAGGGCCAGTAGCCCTATATAGAGAATTTCTGGTTTTTGTAATTGACAACTTGTCCATAGAAATGAATATGATGTTTGTGTGTGTGTATATATGTTTTCAATTTGGAAAGTGGCTTTTAAACATTTTTGAACTATGGCTGGATTGAAGTACTGTATTTCTCTTCTCTTTCCAGAAATAACTGGTACTTCTTGACTCTCTGTGATCCTTGCCAGCTTCTCGGCCATGGTGGCATATTTGGAGAAGGCTGTCTAATGGAAATCAATGTGATGAAGCAATTAAGAGTGTTAGATTGGGAGGTAGGAGGCCTGAGTTCAAATCCCACACAAGCCAAAACATATTGATCTTTGAATAATTTCTGCCTCTCTCTCTGTCCCCCCCTCTCCCCCCCCCATGAAAAAAAGAACCATGTATGCTTCCATGTAGAATTCCTTCCACACAGCTGTATAAAATCCACACTGAACTGGATTATATGGCACTGTGAACTGTGAACAGCTATTGTGGATTACCTGCCTTGATAGTCTGGATTGTATGGCTGTGTGGAAGGGCCCCAAGTAGAGCACAAGCGGAGTCAACTGTGTGATGTAATAATATAGTAACAATAATAACTATAAATTTATAATATATTTTAGAGCTTATCTGAGTCTCAGCCAAGCACAAGCCTAGCCCAGGCCCAAACATTCCTGGGAGGATTAATTTCCTTTTTTCCTAACTTCTTTGCTGTTGCAAAACTTTGCAAAGTCGAACTGCCAACTCCAATATGTTACCATTCTTGTTCTACAACTGAGCCCCTGCTGTACAGCAGACCAGCACAAGATCTATTAAATCAAATATCATAACTTATATAGTGCCTATGTGACTTTGGACTATGTGGCTGTCTTGAGAAACAACAAAATTCTTCAAATGGAATCCCTGCTGAAAGACTGATTGCCAGCAACCCCCAGAACCCAGGACTCATCAAGGACTTTGTTTATCTGCTTGATTGACTTTCTGGTTTCCCAAGCCTCACTCTTTGTGTAGAGATTATTCTAAGCTCCCAAAACCCATTACTGCTAAATACTCATTCTTTCCATTTTGGACAATGGGCTCACACCCTCAGAAGTGGGAACAGCAACAAACCTTTAATTTTGAACACCACCAATCCCGGTTGTTCTCTCTTCCTCTCTGACGCAGTCTGTGATGCCAGGAGGAAGCCCCAGCCAATGAGAAGGCAGATCTGAGGTGTATCTCCTGAACAACCGGGAGAGGGGTAGGTGGTTTGAATAGTTGCCAAACTTTGTAAAATGTGCTGCGCTTTTCTGTATGAGTTCTATCCGTTCTTTTGGCGATTACGCTGTTCTGTCACCCATCTGGCCAGGTGAATAAAAACCTTTGATATTGCCTTCAAACCTGGTCATGTTTTTCCTGGCTTTCAAAGCAGCATGGCATGGTGGGCAACAGACCTACACTGCATCGGGGTGTCAAATAGCTGATTTTGGTAACAACATGGCAACCTTGCACAGAATTTCTCCATTCATTTGATCGGGATGTCAAACTCATTTTCATGGAGGGCCACATCAATTTTATGGTTGCCTTCAAAGGGCCACCGAATCCATGGACTGAGAATCTGTGGATACAGAGGGCCAGCTTTAATTCCTTTATATCGTGGTCAGTGCTCTTTGTTTCTTACCTAGTTTGGGTCCCCAGATGTTATTGAACAATGTCTCCAATCACTTTTGATTGTCTATCATGCATACTGGGGAAAATGGGAACCCAGCAGCACTTGGGGCTCTGAGGAAAGGGAAAGATTAAAGGATGTTTTCAAGTCAGATACCCTATTCACAAGCCTTGAATCTAGATTCAAACCCTGATCTCCTAACTCAACAGAACAACTACAGCCTTCCAGATGTTCCTGTGTCACAACTCCCATCAGTCATTATGTTTAATAATGAGAAATATAGGAGTTGTAGTCTAGCTTCTGAGGCACCACATAAAATAACATGGAGGGCTGCATTTGGCCCATAGACCTTGAGCTTGACACATGTGAGTTAGATAATGAGAGCTAGGACACCAAAGCCATCTCCTGCCTATGCTTTATTAAGCACTAATATATCTAATGAGTTAGATCATTATGTCCAGAGAAGGCAGTTTGTCACACTAATTACCCAAATTCCACGGTCAGTACTTTTCATTGTTGAAATTAAGTCTGAGCCAGAAGAAGGTGGTTTGCTCATCCCTCACCTCACTTTCCTCTGACAAATAAGCACGTGCATACAAGGTTTCCAGATCGCAAGGTCTGGACTCTTCTCTAGTCTTCAAGGAGGAAGAGGAGGAATCTCAGGGTGAGAGCACTGACTTGAAAAGTGTATGTATATAATCTCTTCCTCTGAGTTTTTTATTAAGCCGACATACTCTGTGCAGCAAGAGTTACTGAATCTGGACTGTCCCAGGTCCTGAGATTTAAGGGCTACACCTGAGGACAAGGGATGGCCCAGTCGAAGGGGCTAGGCATGTTCAACTTGTTCACATGTTTGCACGCTTTAACTTCCTCAAGAGCTGTCACAGAAAGGAGAGGATGGGCCTATTCTCTGCTGCTCTAGGGAGCAGAACCAGCTTCAATGGTTTTAAGTTATAGGAAGGTCAATTTTGATTGAACATTAGAAAGCACATAAGAGTTGCACTGGAGGAGATAGAGACCACAAGACACACACACACACACACACACAAATGTAAGAACCAGGTGCTCCTCATTATAAAGACTGCAAGCCCATGCAAAAATTAAAAAAACCTATCTCCTTCCAGCTTCCCCTCCTGTCATACACATGTCACCCAGTGACATTACCGAAAGCCACTTCACCTAGCAACAGCCAATCCACTGACTTCACAGAGGGCTGCTTCACTTAGCAACAACCAATCCAGTGATATCACAGAGGGCCACTTCATCTAGCAACAACCAACCTAGTGACATCACAGAGGGCTACTTCAACAAGTAACAACCAATCCAGTGACACCACAGAAGGCACTTCACTTAGCAGCAGCCAATCCAATGACATCACAGAGGCCACTTCACCTAACAACAGCCAATCCAGTGACACCACAGAGGGCCACTTCACCTATTTTATTTATTTATTTATTTACGACATTTATATGCCACAAAGGGCCACTTCGCCTAGCAACAGATAATCCTGTGACATCACAGAGGGCTACTTTAACAAGCAACAACCAATCCAGTGACCCCACAGAAGTCCACTTCACTTAGCAACAGCCAATCCAGTGACATCACAGAAGTCTAGTTCACCTAGCAACAGCCTTTGTGGTCCAAAACAGACAAACAAATGTACATATATACACAGATAAAACCCACATTTCATGGTAGTATACGCGGCTTTGTAAATAAAATAAATACATAAACGAGTGGCTACATTCAGGCTCTCTAGCAATTCCTCAAACATAGCCACTGCCTACCAAATCTTCAAAACTACACACATGCACAAAATATGTTGTTGTCCATATGCACAGCACTTGGAGGCCCAGGGAGACCAGTGCAGAGGTACTCCACTGGTCCACTTCATCCCAAAATTCTAATTAGCCGCTTCATGATAATCTAATTATAATGCAAGTTGTCATTCTGACTCATTCCAAGCTCTCTGTGGGGAAACTAATTAATTTAATTGTGTTCTCTGACTGTGCTCAGAAAAAAGCCTTCTGTGTTTTTCCCGCCGCGGACAATCAAAAACAACCCTGCTGATTGGAGAGTTTCAAGGCACAGAAGGCTCCCTAATTACACAAGATGGTTGGATGTGGTTTTAGTTATGCTCAAAGAGCTCTGAAAACCATGGAATTATATTGGTGGACTGACAGATGCCAAGAGGAGGGTTCTCTCTGCATCTCCGGTGCAATTCTATGGTCAGTTTTTGAGAGATGTTTGGTTGGAAATTCCATAGAGTGACACTAGAAGCCTATAGAGAAGACTTTGAAACACAAGAAAAGAATGGCAACCACAACTCATCAAGGGTATCCTTTGTGATTTCTCCTTGTACCTAGTAATTGTTGCATGCCAATCAAACACACACAATACTGTATCACTCATCATTAAGCACAAGTTTTAGGCAATAATTTCCAGTGGGACATGTTACCCGAACTCCTTTATCCTTGACTCAGTGGGATTTATGGAGCTTAAGCTCTTTTGAACAGTAGCGATCGGTTTAATAACACTGGGCAAATGTCTGGCTCAGAAGCGAGAGCAGAACAAACAAACCTATATGCGACACAGAAATGAATGCAGAGAATAGCATTTGCACATTGTGCGATGGGATGGATGGAGTCCTAACTGAGCCTGGATATGAGAATAAGGAATTAGCAAAACAATCATTCTCCCCGTCTCCAAGGTTTAGGTGTGAGACTCAGTGTGTATATTGGCAAACTGGTCCATCTACATAGAAAGATGGAACAGAAAAAATGGTGTGGAAGGGATGGGACTTGAGTGAAGTGATAAAATTCCAAGTGCAGGCCAGGGCAATCTCTAGCAACAACATCACAAAAAGTCCAAAACATCAACAATTCTGTTGATCTAAACCAATTTGCATTCATCTTCAATTCTCTCACCAAGAGATT